TCAATTCAGGCCAAAAGCAATGGATTCCACCAACCATGGACTAAACTTCTGAACCATGAGTCAAAATAAACTTTTCCTCCTTTAAGTTGCTCTTGTTGGATGTTTTGGTCACAGTGATGACACAGTGGCCATTCTTCTTTATCAATAGCTTACACATTTTAGAGACAAAAATATCTCATTGCTCATTGTTTTGCTTTTAACTTCTTCTAAAAGGATAAAATATTTATATTGTCTCATTTAACATTTGTATCTCTAGTGGCTTATTCATATTCTTTGCTCAATTTGCATTGTGTTTCTACTACTTATAATCAAAAAGTACTGAGTGATTTAAAACAGTGGGTAAATGAAGGTTTGTCCTTCCCTATAGATATTGTGTTTTCTCTCTAGATTTCTGTCTTTTTCTGATACTCTCTAGAACATTCTCAGAATGCCAACATCACTGAACTTCAGAATATTAATGTTATTTAATGTAGTAATAAGGTAACATTTTGACTCCTACTCTACTAATTTTTCTTCTGTATCATGTCTTCAGAAATCCCTGAAAAGATCCATGTGACTAACAGGACAATATTTGGACATTGCATGGTTTATGGTTGAGAAAAATAATTAAGTCACTAATTTCTTAGAACCCTGATACAAACATCTTGTTTAGGTGTGGTTTAACCAAACTAACTAAACTCAGTCATGTAAGCACAAACCAAAGCAATGGAAAGAGTGGCCCCATCTTGTGCTATATGATATTTATGACATGACATTCCAAGAACTGGTCTTATTTGTTTTCTACATTCTGGACTCAAACAATTCAAAATGTGAAAAAACTCATTTATCCATGCTCCATGGTTCCCATATCTCATCAATTTATATTCTGGCTTTCTATTAGGGGGCCTTCTGAAATATTCACAAAAGATAATATTCAGCCTTATAAAATATATTCTGTTCTCTTTGGATAGATAATGAATGTTAATTTCAGGTATATTTGATTTCTTAATGAAAAAAGCTGTTTTTTTTTCTTTTATGATCACAAAATGTGTATGCACATACCTTTCTAATTTGATGATGACATCTACCTAACAGTCCCAGTGGAACAACCTTTGCAGTATTGAACCTCATTGCAGTCTTGCTCTCCATACAAAAGGAAATATTATTCTTTTCTCTGATACTTGTGATGTTTTCCCTCCAAAATTTGGTTTTGTTCAATTCATTACTCTATGTCAGTTAACTGCATTTTCAGATTGACTATACCGTCTGTTATAGAGGTATGTTGGAGGGATTATTAATAAATGTCTCTCATATATATTATATATTGTGTCAGAAAGCAGATACCTGCGGAGAGGACCAATACCAGTGTTTAGCAGATTCATTTCACTGTCTTGGTGTATGCTTGAGTTCACCTGCCTTGTCACAATCACAATATCCTTTGCTTCATGTCGGGCTGGTCCACAATATATTACTGTTCCATGTACCACACATATGTGCCACAGATGGCCATTTTTAATTTCAGAACTCAACTGTAATAAATTCAGCACATTAATATTTGGCTAAGATGAAGTGCTGGGAGACTATCATGGGAAACACATCACTCAAGTTCATCTCTAACCAGGCAGTGGGGATTCCACTGCAACAAAATCAACCTTTGTGTTGCCTTCTCCTCAGCCCCACAGCCCTTTCTCTTTCTTTGTGGGTAAGATGTAAATCTAGTCCACATGCTAACATTTGCTTACAAGCTGTGCAAAAGAAGTCAGGGTTTTGGTATTTGGTTAAAATAGATCCTTTGGGGAGTCATGCTAATAGCTGTGTAAGTCAGAGTGGAATCTGGCTTTCTTTTTGCTTTTTATTAGGACTCAGTATTTATTTGACTTATTTTATTTTTTTATTGGTCAGTGGAAAGCAGTCCAATCAGCAGTATCATTTCTAGTGAAATCACTTGTTGAAGACATAATACCATAGCTGGTGGGAAATATGACAAGAGAGAAGACAATGTCCTCAGATGGGGTCATGGTAGGAAGATGTCAAATAAAATTGGGCAAAGCGATTATGAAATACATGCATTAAGATTGATGTGTGATTGGTGGATATATGACTGAGTGAGAGAAGGTAACTAAGGACTAAGGTAGATAGGAAAAAGATGAACAGGAAGACGGGCTCTTAGGAACAATGAGAAGAACATTACTTTGTTAGGGAAGGACAATCTCCATGAAGTTTCTTTCACTTTAAAAAAAAAAAAAAAAAAAAAAAAACTTGCCTTGGATGTAACCCAGAATCCTCAGGGAGCATCTCTTTTCCTGGAATCTTCCAATGCCAGGAAAGTCTCTTCTCAGGCCCTGTGTATCTCAGAGTTGGGAGTTGGTAGTGGTGTCCATCTTGCTACTTCCAAAAGAACTTGGCAACTGGCCTGACATATCGTCTTCATCACAATTCCTGCTCTGATTTTATGCCTCAGCATCATCCACATCTTTTCTTCCAAATTGCCTTAGCTGCCCCTCCCTGCAGTCACCCTTTGGATGTTGCCAAACCTAGAACAACTATGATTTCCTTTCCTCTCAGTTATGCAGTAAAGCATAATGTTGTCCAGTTTCAGATTTTTTTTGTTCAACCTGAAACATGACTCACTGTCATTATTCTCTATCTTCCTAGACTTCTATCTATTCTTTTTTATAATCCCACCATTTTTTCTTTATCTCTTTCCATTTATAGTTTATATTTTCATGTTTATTATTACAATTTTTTCTTGCATATAGCCAATCTACTTGTTCTTCTGACTTACCTGGTAATATCTCAGTTCTTGTTAAGCCCTTTTCCTTACCTTCTTTGTACTTACATCAGGATAACATTGTAGCTATATCATCTCTTAAGTTTTACATTTCTGATCACCAGTCTCAATAGTTTCTGTTTCAGTTTATAATCTGCTCAGAGTTATACAATTCATGATCATCATTTAAATACATGTCCACTATTCTCCAGTGTCTAAGCTCCCCTCATCCTTAGTATCAAATGGTGTACCTTCCAAGTAGTCCCATACTTCCACCTGTATTTTGTATCCTAACCCTTCCTTTCATCTCACTAACATTTAATTTTTAGTCCTTTCTCCCTTGAATATTTATTGTGGCTTTCCCCCATTGTCCTTAAGTAGGCTTAAATTTTCTGTGTTAAATATTAATTAAGTAATCCACTATCCTCTAGCTGTAACCCTATCACTTTCTTTCCCTTTCCTGTTTCCAAGAGTTGATTTTATGGGTTAACTTGGCTAGGGTACACTAATTAGTTGTTTGATTAAACATTAGCATAGATGTTGCTATAAAAGCATTTTGTAGATGTGATTAAGACTGACAATCCACTGACTTTGTGTGTGGCACATTACCCTCCATAAAGTAGGTTCCAGTTCATGGTCAGCTCGTGGTCTCTTACTTTTTATGATGACCATTTAAAATCATCTCTACTCTTCTCAAGGCCTAACCTCTCTTCTTCCTTAGTATCAGACAATGTCACTTCTAATTAGTGATCATTAAGGACCAGGATGGAGGTTTCCCCAGGAAGAAGGAAAGTTATTTGTAGCCTGAAGTAGCAATTCTGCCTGAGTTTCCAGCCGATCCAGTTGCTTAATGGATTTACCAACCATCAGACTTATCAACATCTTAATCATGTCAGCCAATTTCTTAAAAGAAATTTCCAAGAGATTGAGAGAGAGAGAGAGAGAGAGAGAGAGAGAGAGAGAGAGAGAGAACTGATAGGTTCTATTGATTCTGTTTCTCTAGAAAACCCTAATAGAGTACCAAACTTTCAGAAATATCCCATGACTGATATCAGACAAAATAGGAGAATACACAAAGAGACATAGAGGAAAGCTATATGAAGACAAAAGGACAGACTGCATTGAACATCAAAGATTGCTATGACTACCAGAAACTCAGAAATTGGGAATGGATGCTACCTTAGAAATTCTGGAAGGAGCTAACCCTGTTGACTTCTTGCTTTTAGACTTCTGGCTTCCAGAATTGTGAGAGAAGAAGTTTCTGTTGCTTTAACCCACCAAATTTTGGTAATCTGTTATAGCAGTCCTGAGATTGCAAAAATAATCTTCATATAAATGTGTAGTCACATTTACATATTCAAAAAGCATTGTGAAATATTGGCATCAATATTAGGTTATTATGTATTTCTCTATCTCCCTGTCCCTCTCTCTCGATTTTAAAATTTTCAGTGCTGGGGATTGAACTGAGAGCCTCATAGCATGCTAGGTTAGCACTCTACCACTGAACAACATCTCCAGCACTGATGATGTATTTCTTTTAAGTAGTAACTTGTACTACTAATCAAATTTTATAAAATTACTTAAAATTTAAATTTTTAGTAATCCTCATATGCAATATATAATAGGCTACCATTTAAGCTACAGACATTTTATTTATAAAAGGTGAATTAAAGAATTATAAAATTTAAAAAATATGGTTATAAAACTATGAGAGGAGAGAACATAATTTGTTGACCGATGGGATATCATGGTTTATTAGAGAATAAATGTTCATTAGAACAGATTCTGAAATTTATGTTGCTTATTATAAAACTGCTTTTGTGATCTGATGATTAGAATATTACCATTTTGGATTAGAGATCAGGTGGTCTGTTTTTCTAAAAGTTGTATTTATTTCTAAAAGGTATACAGAAGGACAGTTGGATTGGCATTCCATTTTCAAACCAAGAACACTTCTATAATTTCTTCATTCATGTTACATTAAAAGATAAATTATATAAAGACACTGTTATATTACATCTTTACAATAATTTATTTCCCAAGAGCTAACATTATTACATTATTCTGCTTCAGTCTTCAAATATTTTAGTTAGAAGATTTCAATATCCCAATTTGGTGCTGATCATGTTGAGAAAGGTTTATATGATTAATAAAATTTGTGTGATCTTCTTATTATAATTATATATGTGTATATATATATATATATATATATATATATATATATATATATATATATAGTATCTCTTGACTTCAACCAACCATTGTTTTGGGGTATTAGTTAAAAATATACTCAGAGTGAGGTAAGTTATTTTTTAGAAAATATTTATTCTGCCATCCCCATCCTCTACCTGAGATAGTTTCCTATCATCTTTGGCTTAGTTTCATCATGTTCTGGCTTGGTGGTAAGTGGAATGATTTGCACTGGCCTTTGGGTTGTTAGGAGACAGGACAGCACAGAGACTTGAAATGTACTGTGGGATTCAGAATATCTAACTAGGTTTTTGCACTCCTGCTTTTTCCCTTCAGAAAGAAAAAAAAAATGCCACAGGATGAGTCTTTTCCATGGAGATGAAGCAAGAAATAAATACTTCCTGGATAAGAATCAGGTTGGGTCAGGACTATTAAATTGGGGCTGCTGGTGAAGCATCTGAGGAAAGTCCACAGTGTACCCTAGATTTTATTGGTTTATATCTCATACTGCATTGTAGAAAACTTGAAGGAAGGGACTATATAATTCCTCACATATGATGGCCACTTAGAGAAAGCGTACGAGATGAATGAATAAATGAATGAACTGTATCAGACTAGGTTGTCTGTCCTGATAATAAAGTGATAACAATAAAATGATAACAATACATATCTCTATTATAAGCAAATGTATATTTCTGTGTGCTATAGGAAACTTACTTGTTTACCTCCTAGTGTTACTATAATAGGGGCTATACATATTCACTTATCTGTCTCCTGACCATCCATAAAAGATCCTAAACCTATGTGATAATCTAGAATCTTGCTATTTGATATGTGGTTTAGCAAAGAGCTACTAAATTATCACCTGGAAGCTTATTAAAATTGAAAAATCTTGGGTCCACCCCAAGAATTTGCATTTGAACAAGATCCTGAATATAATTAGTTGGATAGTGTTAAAGAAAATTTCAATCATTTAGAATAATAATTATAATATTTAACCTTTTTTGAAAATGTTGAGATTATCTTCTATTGAATTAGAACCCTTGGATTATTAGGACATTGCTTTGTTAGAAATTGCAAAAACAAAACAAAACAAATACACAAAAAACAAACCCCAAAACTTACAATCAGTAGCATTCCTAATTGTAATGTAAAAGAGAACTCAAGAGTTGAAATATCACACAAGTGGACAGACCGTACTGTACAATTATTTTGGAAAGATGGGCAGGCCTAGATAAAGTTGGGGAATGATAGCTGTCATATTATATAATTATATTGTGTGCCTGTGTGAATATATAAAAATGAATCCCACCCTTATGTTCACCTATAATATGCAAATTAAAATATGGGAATAATAAAAATTTTTTAAAAAGATGGGAAGAAAAATAACATGACATATGGTATAGTCAATAAGTGTTTACTATGAATGAATGAAATAAAGAATTAAAGAGATATTACAGAATAAATAGAATCACTTTTGAGTTTCATAAATGAAGAACTTGGACTGATATATTGAGTTTACTGAATGTGACTTTGTGAAAAATAAAAGAAAAGGTCTGGGGATATAGCTCAGTTGGGAGAGTGCTTGCCTCACAATCACAAGGCCCTGGGTTTGGTCCCCATCACCACACACACACAGGAGAAGGAGAAGGAGAAGGAGAAAGAAAAATATAGTTGTAAGTAGAAAAGCCCAAAAATTAGTGGGTAATTTGTGAATGTGTAATCATTCCTATTCATTTTCAAATAATTATTGAGGACCTAGTATATTCCCTACCACTTTCTAATTGAATAGATTGGCAAGTTAATAAGTTCTAAGTTTCATTCTCCTCATTTCCTCAAATAATGATAATTGACTTCCAAGGACCCTTTTCACCTTATCTCCTAAAGTTTTCACCTGATCATTTTGTTTCCTGGCCCTCCTCATCTGCTTTTTTTTTTTTTTTTTTTTGAGGGGTGGTGGTGGTGGGGATTAAACTCAGGGGCACTCGACCACTGAGCCACATCCCAGCCTTATTTTGTCTTTTCACAGGGTCTCACTGAGTTGCTTAGAGCCTCACCAAACTGCTGAGGCTGGCTTTGAACTTTTGATACTTCTGTCTCAGCCTCCAGAGAGAGCCACTGGAATTATAGGTATGTGCCACCACACCCGGCTCTCAGGCTCTCATCTGTTCTTTAAATCATTGTGACAAAAGCTTTACCTTTGAGATTCATATCTCTAATAAATGCATTTGTAGGAGCTTCCTTTCTATTGATTATTTACTGTCATTCTAATGTGCTGTGTTAGTGTTTCTCAGGATAACACTTTGAAAAAATTGAAGTTAGACCCACTCTCATGGAAGTTGTAGTTTAGTGGAGAGGGAGGATTATGTAAAATAATTCTGAACAATTTAATGTTGAATGTGAAGAACAAGTTAGGTAATATGATATGCACATAACTTGTTTAGAATTGAGTGGAAGAGACTATTTCCATTAATGTAATTTGAGCATACCTTTGCATTTTAACTACTTTATCACTCTTGTGTGTATGGCCATTTAAGTCCCAAATTTTTATTGAATAAGTGGATCTTAGGGCAGTAATTCACTTTTTAATTAATTTTTAAATACCACCAAGTTTTTATGTTATTACTTATAATATTTCAATTCTAGTGCATTTGGTTTTTGCATAACATTTATTACTAAATACTGCTTATGAGTACATATCAAGGTTAATTACATATTTTTGTTCAGTATAAAAACATACAAAGAGAAAAGTAATGAAATGATTCAAGTATGCCATTATGAAGAAAATATCAACTGTATTAACAGTGAATATTTTTATTTTTCTGAATTAAGTGTGATCCTTTTTTTTTTTTTTTGGCAGTACTGGGGATTGAACTCAGGGTAGCTTTATCATCATGTTACACCCCAGCCCTTTTTACTTTATGAGAGGGTCTCACTAAGTTCCCTAGGCTCACCTTGAACTTGTGATCCTCCTGCCTCAGCCTCTCCGGTTACTGGGATTAGATATGTCGGCTCCTGTTCCTGATCATCAGGTGTCATCTTAATGGCAGTAATGCCAGTAGGTGAATTGAAGGAATCCTGAAATATCAATTATCTTCATGTGATGTGAGGATATTTTGATGTCAAAATAAGTCCTACTGCAATACTGAATATAGACTGTGAATGTGAATATGTATTCCTTCATACAATTAAAAGAAGGGAATTAAAGACTCACTTGCAAAGTTTTTACATAGCTTAGTGTTTGTATAGTAAAGTGTTTCCAAGGAGTGTGGGTGCACCATACATCATACTTTGAGAATTCCCACAGATGATTTGTGAGCATGTCCAGTGCTCACATGGAGCATTGGAAAAATTAACATCTATGGGTTTGTATCCAGTCTGGACAATGCTAGGCACTTGTCACAATCTTGGCCCCAAATGCAGTTTCTGGGAGGTACAGATTCAGGAAACATTACTGAGTTTTTCCAGTGTCCATGGACCGCTGTCTGCTTTACTGAGTCAGAGTTCTGGAGGAGCTGGGCATCAGCTAGTGAATCCTGGCTTTCCACTGCAGAGTGGGGCCACATCTCTGGTCAGCTGAAAGAAGAAGAGAACCATGCCTGTTTTGAGACCTCTCTGGGGAATATTTCACAAACTCATCATTCATTCTTGTGTCAAGAGTCTTGCCCTCATTAAGGAATTCTTTCTTGTGTCTATTCTCTGAGGTTTTAGGCTAAGCCTGCTTTCACTGTTACCTTCCAGTAAAGATGAGCAAAAACTGATTATCAAATAATCATGGCCATTTAGCCCCTTTAACTTTTTCCCCCTCTGGTTTACAAAATAGTCTCAGATGCTTTCATGTTCTTGAGATTATCAATCTATCTCAGAGATATATTGTATATATGTGTATTATATACATATACACATGTGTGTATATATGTGTGCATATATAAATATTCATGTGTATATATGTGTGTATATATAAGATATATATACATGAATGTATGTGTGTGTGTATGTATATATCAGAAATCTGGAACATCACTACAGTTTTGTAAGACAAAGCTTTAGTATTTAAAAAGGAGTTTAATTGGAGGCCAAATACCCATGAGAAATTAGATGTCTTTATGCACAAGCTGATGTTCTCACCTCTATAAACTCCCCCTCGGACCTCTAGCACAACTCCTAGCATTTCTAAAATGCAAACTTTAGAAAGGTCAGAGTTTAGAGAAGTGTGGTTATTTGGAGAAAGAGGGCAGTTAGGAGAAAAGCAAATTATTTTATTATTTTTAAGCCTTCAGAGTGAGAATGAAAACTAGGCAGGGTTTCCCATGCCACTCAGGAGGGCATGTGCTACACCGCCTGTCCTTCCCTATGCAGAAGTATAAACATAGTTGAGTTTGTGGTCACTCAGGTGTTTTGGTCATGCAAACACTAATCGTTATGGTGATCCACTGTTAGTTCCAGCACAAAATATTAACAGTGATAAAATCTGTTGGCTCTGATGTGTGCACCCTTCAAATGTGGTCAAAGACAACACTCCTTACCTCCTTAAACACCCTCTCTGTGCCTTTATTTATAAAACTAACAGAGTCGGCACCACTGGGAGATTCTAATGTGAAGTGCATTTTGCAAAGGGCCTTATATAAATCACATAATTTAAATCTCTCAACAATGTTAGCAGGTGGGTCTTGTTCTCCCTACATTTTAATGATGAGAACATGGAGACATAGAAAATAAGGTAACTTTCCCACTGTCAATACCTAAATATTCAAAAGGCTGTGGGTTTCTAAAAATATATTTATTTATTTATTCTAATTAGGTATATATGACAGCAGAATACATTTTGATTCCTTGTACAAAATTACAGCACAACTTTTCATTTCTCTGGTTGTACACTATGTAGTGTCACACCATATGTGTAGTCATACATGTACCTAGGGTAATGATGTCCATCTCTTTATACCGTGTTTCTTAACAAAGCTGTGTTTTTAATCCATAAAATAAGTGCATTGCCTTCTCTTTTTTTCTGCTTGTTGAAATCTTTCCTGTTTGTGGTAGATTCATTGTAAAAAAAAATGTCGCATCTCCAGCAATTAGAGAAATGCAAATCAAAACTATTCTAAGATTTCATCTCACTCCAGTCAGAATGGCAATTACCAAGAATACAAACAACAATAAGTATTGGTGAGGATGTGGGGGGAAAGGCACACTCATACATAGCTGGTGGCACTGCAAATTGGTGCAACTAATCTGGAAAACAGTATGGAGATTGCTTAGAAAGCTTGGAATGAAACCACCATTCAACACAGCTATCCCAAGCCTTGGTCTATCAGAATACCATGACACAGCCACATCAATGTTTATAGTAGCTTAATTCCCAGTACATAAACTGTGAAACCAACCTAGATGCCCTTCAGTAGGTGAATGGATAAAGAAACTGTGGTATACATACACAATGAAATATTACTCAGCATTAAAAGAGAATAAAATTATGGCATTTGAACGCAATATTGGGCTAAGTGAAGTAAGCCAATCCCAAAACACCAAATGCTGAACGTTCTCCCTGATAAGTAGATGCTGATCCATAATGGGGGGAGGGAGAATGGGAAGAATGGATGAATTTTGGATTGGGCAAAGTGGGGGGAGAGGAGGGGCCATGAGGGTAAGTAAGATGGTAGAATGAGATGGACTTCATTATCCTAGGTACATGTATGATTGCAAAAATGATGTGATTCTACATGGTGTTCAACCAGAGAAATGAAAAGTTGTGCTCTATTTGTGTACAATGAAACAAAATGCATTCTACTGTCATGTATAACAAATTAGAAAAAAATTTTAAAATGTTAATATAAAAAATTGTTGCAATTTTTACTCTTCTCTATATTCAGATCATTTGAAATGTTATACTATAGATTTTTTCTGTTCAACAGATGGGATTCGATCCTCTATTCCTCCAGCCTTGTTATTGCCTTTTTTTCCAATAGAATGGAGCAGAATCCACAGTGTGGCAGTTTCAAGCCCAGGGTTTCAGAGGTATTGGGCTCTTCTGCTATTTCCCTCAGAATTGTGCTGCTGTGTGAACAAGCCCCGGTTAGCCAGCTGGAGACTGCGATACCTGGTGGGAGGAATCCCAGCTGTCTCATCCAAGGGTTTCCTAGCTCAGCCTGCAGCTCTCCATGGGAGAACCCAGCCTAGATCAGTAGAGCCTGCAGGTGACAACAGGTGCATGAGTGAGCCTGTAAGAGACCACAAGAACTGTCTCCAAACAACTTGAGGACATTAATGAGTCATTATTGTTTTAAATCATTGAGTGTTGGAGAATTTTCTTGTATAACCAAGTGAATGTACATCATTATTTAAATCATAAGTCAGATGCTTAATATCCCATGTAATTTTTCTCTATCCTTCCACATAGAAGTGATTCTGCCTGTCATGTCTTTTTCCTTTAATTTTTATTACTAACTTGTTTTTGCAATTTGTCATTTCATAAATTACTCATGATGTTCAAGGATTTAAAACTTCAATTATTTGAAGTAGTGCAAGCTCAAGTCAATGCCATTATTTTTATTCCTATACAACTTCTTGCAGGATTGCAGCTCAGTGGGATAGTGTTTGCCTAGCATGCCTGAGGCCCTGGGTTTGATCCTAAGTACTAAAAGATTACTGTTTGGCATTACATAAAATTACTTATATTAAGTATACTAATACTACACTGAATCAAAACTGTAGGGCTAGGTTTAAATCCAGCAGATCTCTGTAATCCAAATCTCAAAGAAGACCTTCATGAAATTACTGAAGCTAAGCAAATATGTTATCTGGTTCAACATGAATTTCTGCCTGATCTTATGGGAAGCTCCCGATCATGAATTGTGCCACACTGTTGGTTCCACTTTGAGGCAAATGACTTGTCTACCCTATGTAGGTGTCCATGGGAGTGTGTGGGGTGTGTGTGTCTGTGTGTTAGTGTGTGTGTGTGTGTGTGTGGCTTCTAACCTTTAGCAGAAGAAGGAGCTTTGAGTCATTAACTCTTAGATCAAGGGATTGATACGTTGGCCCACTGAAGGGCATCTGGCATGGCACCTTGAGCTCTTTCTAAAGTTTATTTGGGAAAAAAATTAAATCACACATTTTCCTTGTCCAGGAACTCACAAACTTAAGAAAGTTAGCCACATCCACATAGTCTAGGGAACAAGAAAGAATAATCAATAACAAAGAGAATATGTTTGTATTTATCTATCTATCTATCTATCTATCTATATATATATATATATATATGAGAGAGAAATAAGAGGATGTATAATATAAAACATATATCTGTACATATATGCATGCATGTATATAATACATATATACACATATAGATACACATACATAAATATTGGTAAACAATATCTATATACACACACATATATTCCATATTATATACATATAATAAAATCTGTAAGATGTACCAAAATATATATTGTGATTATCAAAGATTTATGGTATTAAAGAAATTTTTGTTTCCTTCATACTTTTTCAATTTTCAAAACTTCCTTAGTTGAGCATATGTAGATGCAATAATTACAAAGAATAAGATAACTGATGGAGAGAATAATGTTGATTATTTTTTTTATTTTTGTTCCATTACATGTAACATGAGTAGGTTGGACAAGTATTTCAGAAATTTTCCAGATCGTAGTTTTGGGGATTTTTGAGTCAATATGAATTCCATGATATAACGTGTCTAAAAATACCTAGAGGGATAAGAGTTAGAGGTGAAGAATAAATAAGAAGCTTCTCTTTAACCATCAAGAGGCAGATCAGGAACAAAGAGTCTCAAGGGTTGCTCCATTTACAGTAAGAGGAAAACTTTTCAGTTTTTACTGAAAACTACACTTAGTGGTTTTTATTATTGTTTGCAATGGGGTTTTTCCACTCTAGTTAAAAACACCTAAAATGAGAAGAGCCTGCATGATTACTTCCTGGTCAACTTGAAAGGACAAGTGGAAATTTTCACAAGACACCACTCTGCAGCGGAGAGGAAACCAGGAGGTAAATGGGTGGAGAACAACCAGAGTTGAGGTGTCCATGATCCAAAGTCTTAGAATCAAATGGAAAACCCCATGCACAGAGATGGCTTCAGAAAGACATATCTACCTTGTCTCCCAGAATTTAATCCTATCTAGAAGCTTCAGACCATATGTTTCTTATAAATCTGAGAGGCAAACACTGAATTATTTATTTAGCCACCCCACTTGGATGTCTTATGAGACAGCTAAAGCTTAATATGGCCAAAACAGAGCCCTTAGTTTCCCCCTTTATGCCTGGCTCTCCTCCGCCTTTTCCATCTCTGCAAATGGCACTACCATCGACCTAGTTACCACAGCCAGAAGCCTGAGAGTCATTCTTGACTTCTTCTTTTCCCTCATATTCCACATCCAATTCATCAGCAGATCCTGTCAATTCTCTCTCCAACATGTACCTCATGCCCATCTATTTTTTCTTTATTTTGAGAACCCCTGTTCTATCTAAATCATGACCATGTTTACCTGGACTTCTGGAATACTCTCCAGACTGTTTCTTTCATTTCCTACAATAGCTCCTACTGTTTTTTTCCAGAGTGCTGCCACAGGGAGTTTTAAAAAATTCAAATGAAGTTTATGTTGCTTCTCCATTTACACTCACTGTTGTTATAATGTTATAGCTTGGACAAATGTTCTCCAAAGGCTCATGTAGTAAAGGCTTGTCCCCAGTGCATGGTGCTACTGGGAGCTGGTAGAACCTTTAGGAAGTGGGACCTAGGGGGGAGGTCTTTTGATTGGTAGGTCAATGCCCTTAGAGGAGATATCATGACCTGAACCTTTTCTTCTTCCTTTTTATGTTTCCTGGTCACATGGGGTGAGGGGCTTGCTTTCCCAAATTACTCTCATGATGCACTGCCTCCTACAGTCTCAAAAACGAGACAGCCCATTGAACATGGCTCAAAACTGTGAGCCCCCCATGCTCCTTTGTCCTCATAAATTGATGATCTCAGGTGTTTGTTATAGTAATGGGAAGCTAACTAGCACATAGATTTCAAACCATGCTTCTACCATGGATCACATATGCTTACATACTCTGACTTATTCTCCTCCTCATCTCCAGCTACCATTTTGTTTTAATTCCTAGGATGTCCAATTTCTTTGTAAGTCTCAAAACATACTCACTTGGCCACAAGGACTTTCTCTACTCTTTCTTTACCTGGAATGTTTTTCCATGGATCCACTCTCTTCTATCAGTCTACTGATTAAGTTTCACTCCATCAGTATGACCTGTCTATCATCTGCCTACTGGAAACTGGACCTTACTGTCATTCTGTATCATAATACCCTGTGTTACTTGAGCTCTGTGTCAGTTATTATATATTAATTTATCATGAAGAGCCTGTTTCCTTCACTTGAGAATAAGCTGTCAGAAGACAAGAATTTTGTCTTCTTTGTGGGATATACAGTCTCTCTACAAATACCTGGCTTATGGTAATTATTTGATAAGTCTTTGTTCAAGACACAAATAAATATGTGTGGGCTTGGGCCTCAACATATAAGACATATAAATATATTATTGACCATGACAGGAGGAGAATATATTCAGAAATGACTACTTTGAAAATCATTCTCAATTGTATATGTTCTCTAAATTTTTGGAGAGTTTAGCTGACAATAAAACATTTAAAGAGGCTATTATCAGTTCTCTACCATATAGCATCTGCTGATTGAAATAGATTATAGATCAATTGTGACAGGCAAATCCTGCTGATATTACAGCAATAAGATGTGGGCCTTTAAGAGGTGGATAGACCATGAGAGGTTGACCTCAGGGGTGGGAGTAGTGATTTTATAAAATGATGAGTTGATCTGCTTTCTCTCTCTTTCACACTCTCACATCCTCCATGTGATCATATGGCATGAAGTCTTCTCCAGTTGCTGGTGCATTGATTGGACTTTCTAGCCTCTAGGACTGTGAGCCAATAAATTTCTGTGCATTGTTAGTTACCCAGTCTCAGGTATTCTGTTACAACAGCACAAAATGAACAAGATAATACTTAGAATTTAAATTTAAAAAATATAATTAAATATAGTATTTATTTGTGTATCTCTAGTAGTAATTTTTCTTTTAACCCATAGTGTAATAGAAAAATATGTTTTAAAAGTCAAATACTTGGGTTCAAATCCCAGCTCTTTCAAATCCAAGTTGGGGAGATTGGAATAAATTTTACTTCTTTCTTGTATTCTTAGGGTTTTTTTCTTACCTAGCATTGAGCAACTCATTGCCTGCTATCCTTCTTTTCTTAAATCCCACCACACCTACTGGGAAAAAATAAAATATTCAAAAATAACAAGGGGATTCATCAAAACTTTAATGTGTAAAAGCAACAATTTAATATTAAAATTCTACATAGTCATTGTGGCTATTTACAAGAGGAGCTTATTAAAGTGGTTAACATGAGTGGGGTTGCACTTGTCATATTTAATGACAAGGGGGATAGTTTTCACAAATAAATGCAGAATAGACATGAGAATTACTCTGTGGCTCATTTTTGATTGACTATTTCTCTCTGCTGGATATTTATGATGCAAACAAGCCTGACTCCTAATACATTCACATGTCACTGAAATACAGGAATGTGTACTGAGAAATGTGTTGTTAACAAACATCATATAGCGTACTCAAAGATGGCTTTGAGATCCTTAGGTGATATATGGTCCTATATATCCCACTGTTGACTGAAATGTAAAATGTGGTTCATGACTACTTAGCCAATTGGTTAGCATCCGTAAAGCTCCAATGTGTTTTCTGAAGGTCTTGTCTTAATTTGAGCCTGGTGAATGATCTTAACCTCATTTTGTAGATTCTACACAAAGCATCAGCTGGGTTTCTAAATACTCATTGCTAAATTCCCTTCCCGTTTGATGTTTGCATTTTTTAAAAAGAATTCAACTTTTATTTTGTTCATTTGTTTTTACGTGGTGCTGAGGATTGAACCTTGCACCTTAACCTGTGCTAGGCAAGTGCTTTACCACTGAGCTGCAGCCTCAGCCTCTGATGTTTGAATTTTATCTGGGATAATCCATTTCTGAACCTATGCTGTGAGTGCTCTTTATCAATGATGTGGTCTGTAAGGACAGAAGAAACTTTCTAATTCTATCTCATGTAGCTTCAGCCCCCACCCCCCTGAAACAGAATTATATTACAGCAGTATTTCCCTGGACCCACAAGGTGTAGGTGATTTTCCCCTGAAAGTTATTATTCCCATGCTTGTAAATAAGTACTCCTTCTAACGCATAGTCAAACAAGGCTGCTTTTTTGTTATTACTCATCCTTTTCTCAATTCTCACAGTAAACTGGTGTCTGAATCTCAACCTAATTGCCAAAATCTTGGCCCCATTAGTATTTTCTGTCTGGTAAGTCCCATTCATCAGAGTCAACTGAATTTCAAAGTCCTTCTAAATGATCTCTGGAAGGAAACAGCTCCTGGCAATTAAAAAAAACAATAATTTATAATCATCGTATATTGACTAAGGTTGGTCATAATATTTATAAATAACCATAGAAACACATGACTAACAGGATCTACACAGTTGCTTCCAAACCTCCTTCCAGCACCAACAGAATCACATAACACTAACAATCTGAAATGCCAGGTGATGGAAATATTGCTTACATAAAGATAAACCTGCGGCACTGATTTCTTCATGGGTTACTTCACAGGCAGTGCAGCCTGTTTTGAATTTCAGGGTTCTGTATCCTTACAGCCTCCAGATGACTGCGGATTGATGAAACCATAGTTCAACCATGCCTGCTTAGTTCAGAAAAGAGATTTCAGAAATGAGAAATATTTAACATAGAATTATTTTGTGATCCATCCTAGAAGATAATTGAGGCAAGCTTTACAACTAAAATAGTAGTCTTTCATTCAAGGTCAAAAGGAATGCAGTCAATTCTCACATAAAGAATAAACAAAGACTGAATGCTACCAGAGTGCTGTGGAGGCAAGTATGGGTGTGTGTGTGTGGGGGGTGAGGGCAGGTGCTATTTCTGCCTAATTAAACTTGACCTATGAAATCATGTTGGGAAGTGCTTTGTTCCTACATCATTTACCCAAGGATGACTTCAGGAGGAAGGAAATAAGAATTGACTGGCTCTGGACTGTAATAAGTGCAAACTGACTTTCTATGATCAGAAACATTAACCCTCTTGCCTGTTTGGATGCCCTAACGAGATGTCCCTTGTTCCAATCTTCACATATATACTCAATGTATTTATCTCAAGGTTTTTATATTCTGGCTTCTAAGTTAGGTATTGAGGATATGACAATGAACACAAAAGATGAGCATGACTTCAAAATGAAGATGGTGTCTATAAGTTAAATAATTGGCCTAGTGACAAAAAAACACTGTAAGCTTTAGTTAGTAAAATGTTAAGAATCATTGAAAAATAATATACTTATGAATAAAATGGCCATATTAGAATTCTTTGTTATTTTATCATTTTGGTCTTTTACTATAAGGTAGTTAATCCTACTCGAGTTTTATAGCATCATATAGCCTTGGACACATCCTGTGTGTTTCATAGTCATAGTCAATCAAGATTAAGACAATATAGATATATAGATGTCTAGAGACAGAAATATTTATCAAGGCTAGAAGTTTTGAATTTCAGGGTTCTGTATCCTTTTAGACTTCTAATATGATACTGGAAGGTGCTGAATAAACAGTAAATAAAGTGGATCTTTAAAGATGACTTCTCTGACTCTGTTTTTTAATTTTTCACTTTTAACATGTAAGTTGAAGGCTAAGTGTTACTCTTCCTATTTTAGGATTCTTTAAAGACAAAGGAGATAGATACCATGACCCCCTTCCTCCACCATGAGTGTATGTGTAGTGCATGTGAGAGTTAATGTACATGTTTATTTTCTGAAATGTTTGTAAGTTGTAGACATGATTTTGTCTCACTTCTAAACATTTCACTGTGTTTCCTAAAACAAGAACATTCTGTTATAGGGTTACAATATAATGAGCCAAATCTAGGAAATCAATATTTCCACAAGGTTATGTAATCCACAGACCTCTTCAGTTCTTGCCAATTGCCCCTGGTGTTATTTTTCTAGCCCAGGATCCAGTTCAGGATCCTATACTAGCATATTGCTGTGCTGACAGTTTTTTCTGGGATTATTTCGAGTTCTTCCTAGTCTTCCATGACTCTAATGTCTCAGAAGAGCACAGAGTGGTCACCATGCAAAGTGCCTCCAGTTCAGGTATGCTGTCTCATCATGAGATTCAGTCTGTGTGATCATGCCAGGAATACAAAGAAGTGTTTCTGAGTTCCTCTCATGGCATCATAGTAGGAGAATGGGTTTTGAAATAAGAAATGTAAATATCAGGCAGTGTGATCCAGACAAAATTATAAAGCACTGAATTTCAGTTTTCTTATCTGTAAAGTAGAAACATTAACATGAACCTTATACTGTTCCATTTGTATGATAATGGAAAACTGTATATTAAGGTAAATTGCTTAGTCCAATGTGTGGCCCATATGAATTGCTCCACAAATGTGAGTTGGTACTGCCTTAGTCTTAGAAGTTGGACATAAGTAGTAGGCCTTTAGAAATTTTAGTAACTGATACTGTGGTTCACAAAGGAAGCAGTTAGTTAGGGCAAAATACTTGGGAGGAGGAAGAGGTGGGTGCAATGACTGTTTTATGTGAGGTTTAGGATGAACTGAATCATTTAGTTCTGCAGACTAATCCTGTCCATGATAACTCATGGAAACCTGGGCTTTAAGTCATAATCCAGCCATACAGTCGGTCAATGTGAGATTCCTCTTGCACCCAGCACCAGCAAGTTCAATTTGGATGAAGGAAAAATGGCAGAACTAGGGGAATTGACTGACTATCTGAGAGAAAACCCGAAAGACCTGACCTCCCAACCACACTTGTCTTACCCAGTGGCACTTTGTTTTCTAAGGGCTGAATTCTCTCTTAAAATGAAGGTCATCTTGGTTTGTCTTTTTGAAAGATGCATTTTATTTTTCAGAGCAGTTTTAGATTCACAGCAAAATTGAGCAGATGGTACAAAGAGTTTCTACACATTTGTTGCCCTGACATAGGCAAAGCCTCTCTCATTCTGGAGTGGTACATTTGTTATAAACATGAACCTACGTGGACACATTATTATCACCCAAAGTCTATATTTACATTAGGTTTCACTCATGATGTTTCACATTCTATTGACAAATGCATAGTGGTTTGTGTTCAATATTACAGTATCCTGCAGAATAATTTCACTGTCTTAAAACTCCTCTAAGCTCTGCCAACTAATCACTTCTCCCCAAATCAACTACTCTTAATTTTACTGTCCATAAACATGCCTATTCCAGAATGTCAAATGATTGGAACCACAGACCATGTGGCCTTTCAGATTGGCTTCTTTCGCTTATCAATTTACATTTCAGTTTAATAGCTTGTTTATTTTTAAGGCTGAATACTCTTTCAATGTCTGAATATACCACAGTTAATTTATTCATCCATCTACAAAAGTGCATCTTGGTTGCTTCCAAGTTTTGGCAATTATGTCAAAAACTGATATACATGCATGTGAAAGTTTTGTGTGAGAGCATGTTTTTAACTTATTTGGGAGATATTAAGGAGTGAAATTGATGCATCGTATGGCAAAAGTTCATTGAGTTTTGTAAGAAACTGTCAAATTATCTCCTAAAGTGTTTATACCATTTTTGCATTACCCAAAGTGAATAAGAAATCCTATTTTCCACATCTTCACCAGCATTCGGTGTTATCAGCATTTTGGACCTTGGCCATTCTACTGGTGTACAGTGGTAGCCCACTGACACATTGTTTCACAGTTTCCTGATGATGTGTTATTGAATGTCTTTTTATATGCTATTGTTTGTGCATTTTCTTGGTTAAGATGTCTGTTCAGTTCATTTACCTATTTTCAAATCTGTTTTCTAATTGCTGAGTTTCAAGACTTTCTTATGTTAAACAGCTGTCCTATATCTGATATGCCTTTTGCAAATATTTTACTCCAGTCTGTTTTTTTTGTTCTCATTTTCTTGACAGTGAGTTTGTAGAGCAGACGTTTTCAGTTTCAATGAAGTCCAGCTTATCAATTTTTTCTTTCATGAATTGTCCCTTTGGTGTCCTCCCAGGAAGTCATTATCTTACCTGACTTCATCTAGGTTATCATCTGGGAGATTTATGATTTCCCATTTAGGTCAATGATCTATTTTGAGTTAATTCTTGTGAAGGGTAGAAGATCTATGTCCTCCTCCCCTCCTCTTCATCCTCCTCCTCTGGCTTGTTCAATTCAGTCACTTCAGCACCATTTGTTGAAAAGGTTGTCCCTGCTCTACTCTGTCATCTTTGCTCCTTTGGAAAAAAATTCAGCTGACAGTGTTCACAAGAGTCTATGTCTGAGCTTTCTATTCTGTTCCATTGATCTATTTATCTATCTTTTTTTCCAATACAGTGCTATTTTGATTACTGTAGCTTTGAGTATGTCTCAAAATCCACCTTCCAGTTTGTTCTCCTCCTTTGATATATGTTGGCTACTCAGTGTCTTTCATCTCTATACGTAACTTTAGAATCAGTTTGTCAGTATCCACAAAATAGCATGCTAAGACTTTGTGATTGAAGTGAATCTGTACATTAGAATGGGAATAAATGATATCAGGATAATATTGCATTTTCCTATCCAAAAACATGCAATACTTCTCCATTTATTTAGTCCTTCTTCAACTTATTTCATCAATTTTGTGGCTTTCCTCACACTGACATTGTAAATATATTGAGATTTATACTGAAGTATTTCATTTTTAATGTGTTAATATAATTTATATCTTGTCATTAATTATATAATTTTCTATTAACTTGCATCCTGAAACTTTACTTATAATTGCTTATTAACTTCAGAAATCATTTGCTAATTCTTTCAGCTTTTCTACATAACTTATCATGTCATAGGTGAACAAAATGTTTTATTTCTTCCTAATCGATACTCCTTTAATTTTTTTTTTCGTATTGTTTTCTGTAGGACTTTTAGTTCTACATTGAAAAGGAGAGGCAAGAGAGGTCATCCTTGCCTTTAGATATTTTGGTGGGAAAGTTTCTAGTTTGTCACTGTTAAGAATAATGTCAGTTGAAGATTTTTATAGAGTTATTTATCAAGTTGCGGGAGTTTTTTTTTTTTTTTTTTTCTTTTACCATGAATGGACCTTGGATTTTGTCAAAGATTTTCTGTATCTGTTGATATAATCATATTACTTTTTCTTTGGCCTGTTGATGTGATGGATTACATTGACTAACTTTTGAATACCATACTTGTACATATCTGGATTAAATCACAGTTGGTTGTCATGTGTAATTCTTTTCATGTATTTTTGGATTTCTTCTGACATATTTTTTAAAGGATTTTTAAAATCTATATGAGAGATATTATTCTGTAGTTTTCTTTTCTTATAATGTATTTTTTTCTGATTTTGGTACCAGAGTAAACCTAACCTCACAGAATGATTTAGAATGTATTTCCTCTGCTTCTAACTTCTGGACAGATATAGAAAAGTAGTTTAGTTTCTTCCTTAAATGTTTGGTAGAATTCACCAGTATACCCATCTGGGGTTGGTACTTTCTATTTAAGAAAGCTATTAATTATTGATTCAATTTCTTTAATAAATATAGATATAATATTTTAATTATTTCTGCCTATTTGGGCAGATTGTGTGTTTTAAGAAATTGGTCCCTTGCATCTAGATTAGCCAAATGATGGTCATAGAATTGTTTATAATATTCTTTTATTGTCATTTTTATGGCCATGGTGTCTGTTACAAGGTCCTCACTTTTATTTCTGATGTTAGTAAGATGTTTTGTTTCTTTTATTTTAGGCAACTTGGCTAGATGCTGCCTGAATTTACTGATCTTTTCCAAGAATGAGATTTTTAAAAAAATTTCTCTACCAATTTCCTGTTTTCAATTTCATTGAATTCTGCTCATTTTTTTCTTTCCTTCACTTTTTTTTTTAGCTTGGAATTAATTTACTCCCCTCCTCCAGTTTCCTAAAATAAAAGCTTGCATCATTGATTTCAGATCTTTCTTTTTTAATGTATGCATTAACTTTATGTTACAAATTTCCTATTAAGCATTGATTTAGCTCCATTTTATAAATTTTGCTATTGTATTATTTTTTAATTTAGTTCAAAATATTTAAAAATTTCTCTTGATATTTTTTTCTTTGACCTCATGGGTACTTTAAGTGTGTATTGTTTAATTTCCAAGTATTTGGGAGATTTTTCCAGGTATCCTCCTTGTATGATTTATAGCTTAATTTCATTGCATTCTGAGAGCAGATATTATGTGATTTTCCTTTCTGTTCAGTTTGGTAGTGTTTTATGGTACAGAACGTGTTCTATCTTGACAAATGTTCCACTTGAGCTTCAGAAGAATGTGCACTCTGCTCCTGTTGGATGAAACTGTCTACAGATTCATTATGTTCAGTTGATTGTTCATTTTGTTGAATTCAACTATGTCTTTACTGATTTTCTGCCTGCTGGTTATCTCTTTTCTGAAAGAAGGAAGTGGAAGCCTCCAACTATAATAGCGAATTGAATTATTTCTCTTTGTATCTCTGCCAATTTTTACATCAGGTATTTTGATGTTCCCTGGTTAGGCATGTGTTCCTTAAGGTTGTTGTGTACTTTTGGAGAAATTATCCTTCATTATTATTTAATTCCCTGCTCAATCCCTAATAACATTTCTTGCAAGTTGGCTTTGCCTGTAATATAGCTACTATGGATTTCTGTTGATTACAGTTAGTATGGTGTAACTTTCTCCATTTGTTTACTTTTAATCTTTATGCATTTTTAT